GAACAAAGGAACAAATGACACTGCTGAAAAAGTGTCACCTAGAAAAAGCCACTTTTAAAGAAGAAACTCTACTCAGTTAGATATATTTTTATTATTATGGAAATGAAGAGATAGCAATTATTTCAGATGTGACATGGCTACGGGACAAGAGCAAAGAGCAAATGTGATTGAAACAAAACGAATTCTGACCAGTTAGTAGCTTTCATAGAACTGAATTTCAATTCTAAGCTAGAGAGACTTCCCAGAATGCTATAGCACCAGGCAAGCCCCACTAATAGAAAACCAACATTTAATTTGTGATTTTTTTACCTTCATATACAACCAACATGCCGGAGAATCCACAGAAACATGTAATGTAATTTTGAATAAACATGTTTGTGAAATGGTTTCTATCATTAAGTGGGTTAATTTTTATTATTCGATAAAAGTATCGCAAATCCAATCCATTTATTTGGAATTAGTTATTTATTTATTTAACTGTAATATAAATTTATGTTTTAGTATGGCACAAGCTAAAATAAATGTACAGCAATGATATGGCTAACTAATTAACTCCCTGTCTCACTGGCTGACACACCAACAAAGTAATTGATTGATAACATAGTAGCAGATTCACTAATTGATTGATAAACTCACTGACTTACACTAAACTATTTAACAACCTTCTAGTGCTTTATTATTGTTACAGTATTTTTTTCCTGGTACTTAGAACTTTCTAAACATCAGGTATTCATCACGTCACGTTAATTCTAGAACTCATGAAACGTCTATATATCATGCATCAGCATTACTTCATGCCAAACTAGCTCTAATGACAACAGAAAACATCTAAATTAAAATATTAAAAACAAACTACAACACTTCCTCTCATTTGATTGTGAAGTTCTTCAAATATCATCATCTACAAATAAATCAATACATTAAACTAAAAAATCATGATTAGCAATCATGTCACTATTTAAAATTGTGATATCTCAGGTAGAAATTTATGTTACTTATAGTGACAAGATAGGTCTGTTGAATAACAGGAGATTCGACAAGACAGTTCTGAATATATCTGAATAACTGAGTTCATGAGAATGAAATATAGTAACTGGAAACAATGTAACACATAATTAAATAATATTTATTAAATCACTGACATCAACACACTGTTTGTACTTGCTTAAGATGCTGGACATTCACTTTAAATGGTTAGTAAGTTGTTTTGATAAAGATTGTATCTCAAATTATTTAAATTTAATGTTATTTACTTCCAAGTTAACATCAAACTTACACAGAGCAACTAGTGCTACACTGATGACTGGTCATTCCTATTTAAACTTAAGAAGGTCATTATTTCCAGGCATAACCTGTTCTCCCATTGGATGACACTACTTGTCTCGACGCTTTGGAAGAAACCCTTGTGCTCAATACATTAGACCTGACATTTAAATATTGCCAAATCGAACTGGATGATGAGAGAAGAATTAAGAAAGCTTTCAGCATCATAGATTTGTTGTGCAAGTTTTGCATCATGCCACTAGGCCTAATAGACCTACACTGAAAGGGATGTAACGAGAGAAGTGCGAGATTTATGTTGGTGTACTGTATGGCAAAGAGAGGGAGAGAGATAGAGCTGTTTACAGTTATGGTCTTTGTAAAACACCTTTGGCACTACTTGCATGGGAGAAACCTTACTGTTCAAGTAGACCATGTAAGGCTGAAGTGG